AAGTTTCACGGTGTGTTTATTTGATCTTAGATTATTTGGTAAGATACAGAAATCTAGACACCAAATTACATGCACTTCTGAGTATGTGTCTTGAAAACTTGTGGCGTGTCTCAAGCGTAGTTATAGTTTTCTGTTTGTCGAACTCTGTTACCAGACGGCAAGAACGCTCGACGGATTTGCGTCATTGTGCGCTCTAGAGCTGAATACTTTACTTTGTTAACTTGACACCACCCATGGGGGAAGGTCAAACAACTTTTTGTCTCAACTGACGTACCTATCGTCATTTGAAGAACCGGGGATAACCAAATACTCCTTGACAGAGAGTCGCTCAGCTGGCTAAGAAATTGCGCTTTTAGAAGTCGAAGTTCATTACTGTGTTTACAAGATCCCTAACACTGTATCATATCCTGAGAAAATTTAATGCAACAACAACAACAAAAATTAATTTTTAAGACCCATTTTAACATTACCTTATCAGTCCATCTACGTCAAGGTCTCGGAAATAGTAAACTTATTTTCTTTCTAGGTTTGTCCGACTAATTTAGTATGCATTTATGATCTCCCTGATGCATTCTACACGAACTTTCAATGACACCAGGCTTTATTTGTCTAATCTAATGACATTTGGGAAATAAGTTGTGTGGATAGGATTTGAGATTTTCACGGCGGTGAGTCTGAAGATGACTGTCTTCTGGGTTTTTGCGGCGTGTAGTCTGATAGAAGTTTACCGACGTCTCTGAGGTCTTTGCTGCCTCCATCATCATGTCTTTAAGTCGTATAGATGATAATAATAAACAATATTATGATGTTCCTTCATCACATAAGTTTCTCGAACCTCCTATCACTTATTTTGTCACGACTGAATATTCTTTTTGGTATTTAGTTCTGAAACACGTTCAGGACCAGGCATTGATGAATAAAATCTCTATTAGTTTTAAACAGAAAGGCCCATTTAAATTTCACTTCATTCACGAACTAATAAAAGGCCTATACGTGTAATTTACTCTCCTACAGGCTACAGGATCTTAGCTAATGTAAATGTTACAGCACAGTTCATAAAGTAGGCTTAACGGAAACTGTGGCTCTGAAATGTCAGACTAAATTTTGTTGCAGTCACAATATAACATTTATTTTGTCTCGAAATAAACAGGACCGAAATTAGAGTCGCTTCAATTCAGTCCACATTCTCACACCGTTTTTAAGACATATTTTAATATCATCCTTCCATCTATGCCCAAGTCTCGCAAGAGCTTTCGACTGAATTTATTTTATTGTATAACATTACTTTCAAATAACCCATGACAGCTGCCTTGTAAAACGTTCCTACATTCAGCAATATTCCTATGAACTGTTATGAAGTTTGCTTATCGACGGTTGCACAGGAAATTCTGTACAAATTACTCAGAGACTGTACGCTGTAACACTCATCAGCTCAGTACATAACAATCTTAGTTGACGTCATTCACAGAGGTGATCCAAGCCTTGAGGCTTGAGTGTTTTATATTTGTTCTTGGGTTCGAGGTCTACCATCTCAAAACTTTCCAGCCACATTTACTCTGCGGAAAGGGGTGACCAGTTCATAATCGTCATCACTGTACTGTTTACGTCTGAGAACACGTACGTCGTCCTGCCTTGCAAAGATCGAATATAAGAAACAAATTAGTAGATTACAGTGTAAATAATTTCCCCCGCGGAGGTATCTCATCCAGAACTCCTATAGCACCACCTAACCTCCTATCCAATGAGTGCAGGGAGCCATTTTTCCCAGAGTTCGGTGTAGTAAACTGATATTATTCGAGAGGGCGATTTGTCGTAGATCTAAAAATTAAATGTAATCAAATTCGATTAGCCATATTAGCTCTGTTATACGGGTAATCATGGGCAGTTGGGCATGGGACATACCCTACAGACGGCAGTGAAATACAACTTCATCGCTCGATCGCTCGACTATGAAACAACCAGAATGTTGTCCTTGAATAGCAACTGACATCATTGACGACCTGGCGCGTGACGGGTGGCGTGGCTGTTCACAGTTCTATGTTAAACGATCACAGGAATCCAGTTTATTTTGTGGTTACCTGAACTGCCTTGTTTATTCATAGCCTCTGGCAATGACTTGGATTTTACAGAACGACCCTGAAACAGAATATCATAGTCTGCAAAAGAAAAGTCCGAATTCTTCGAGCCCGAAAACAGGGGATAGCTCAAAATCGAAGGTCAAATCCATGCTGGCTTCTTTACTCCAACGTAAAAACGAAAAGTTTCTTACGCACTTTGTTTCTTCAGCACAAGAAACCAAATGCATTCACATTTTAGAACATTCAGCGAATACGCAAAAGAAAGTCTGGAACATGATGATTTAAAAACACGACAATGCGACTTTGAGCAGATATCTCGACAAATAGGAAAATTATAACAAAATATAATTCTGTAGGATTTGAGGTTTTCACGGCGGTGAATACGAAGATGGTTATCTTCTAGGATGCAGCACTGTGTAATCTCATAGAAGTTTCAAAGGTTCTTGCTGCCTCCATCATCACGGCAATCACTCATTGCTTATCATTTATCGTAATGAATAACATCATATCATTCACTTGCTACACAGATTTTTGTAGTCTTTATCGCAGAGTGGAGGCATCTGGTGGCAGAGAACGTTATTAATCTTTCAACTGCACGCCATTAGCTACAGGCATCGCCACTGCATACACTATTAAAGCTTTCCAAAGATCTGCTGATTATGCAACACGCATAACAGTGGAGTTCTATGTGTTGCAGCACTTCAGGCACAAGAGTTAATAGTCAATATGCTCCTGGAAATTAGTTATCTTTTTTACTTCGTGTTCGATAATACGGACTTTGGCCTAACGTAATCATTCTTAAACAGCATTAAAGATTTGACGATACGTCTGTTAAGGTTTTCTTATTATCAAAATGTGTAAGCGGAAAACCGTCGGAAATTTATGGTTTGAAAGCTAGGAGAAATAGGAATAAAATACCAGAGAAAAACTGCGTATTGAGTACAAGTAGGTAAAGATCCGTATAATGTTCATTCTGTTTTAGGTATTATTTAGTGTTCTGTCTGACGACAGGTCCATATGAACAGGATCCTTCCATCCTTTTCTCGGACTGGGACCTGTTCATATACGTTCTTGGCAGATGATCCAGAAGTGGTTTACCATTGCCTTCTTCTGTGT